GCGCCAAATGTCAGGGGTCGACGAAGCGTAGTCTCGGCGACGGGCCAGACGGGCGCGCGCGCGAGCGACTGGTGCCAGGACACGAGGGCGCGGGCGTCGGCGACGGAGGGCGCGATCGGCTTCTCCGAGAGAACGTGCTTTCCTGCGGCGAGGGCGAGACGGATGGCGCCAGGCTGCGCCGGGATGGGCAGACAGATGATGACAGCGCTCACGTCGGTGCGCGCCAGGATGTCAGCGAGCGAGCGGGACGGCGTCGGGTGGTCGTCTGCGTAGGTCGTCACCGCGTCGGGGGATGACGTGTTTGCGGCCAGGGCCGAGGCCGACTTGAGGGAGCGCGAGTAGACGGCTCGGAGCTCAAAAGTTTTGCTGGATTGGATGGCGGGAAGGTGTTCTGGAGCTGGGGTCAGCAGGGGGGGGTTCCTGTTCGCGTGTCATGTGTTGACGGTGATGAGGGATGGCTCACGCTCCTGGGCGAAGAGGCCCGCGCCGAGAAGGGCGATTCCAATCATGATGCTTTGTTTCGCGTTCCGTTCAGCGACTTGGAGTTGAAGCTCGCGGTGAGGCCTCGTTCACAGAACCGACTTCAGTGTTTAGCGTGCTGGAGAACACGTTACCCTCCCGATTGACTAGACGTCATGTTGGCCCGCATCCGAGCCAGCACCAGGCCCTCAGTGGTGGTCCCCTACCTCCAGCCATCATTTAGCGCATCATCGCCGCACCTGTATCGTAGCGCAACGTTTTAGCCGCCCTCGGCCAACCTCAATCGCAGGCCGTTGACAATCAGTAGTGGGTGAATCGTGGAAGCGATACGTGAGCATTGAGGGAATTGCGGCCTCATGATGGAGGTGCCGGGGGCTGGTTTTCATTAATCCCTGGTGGCCCAGTTGGTTAAGGCGTCCGACTGTTATTCAGCAGATCCATCGGGAGATCGACAGTTCGAACCTGTCTCGGGGAGATTTATATTTTGCCGATACCTACCTACCCCTTGTTCTTTTGCCTGCTAGGCGAAGCAAGCGACCGATGACCATCCTACAACTATTCATATCAAAGTCAGCCCAACCTTTTAGAGTTAGCAAAAGCTGTGCTTAAGACACATCTTGGTGTAATGTCCTGGTGCTTAGCCATCCTAGCAATCTATTACAAGCTCTATCTCTGCTTTGCTTTCTTGCTCGGTAGCGAGCTGATGTCCATACCCGCAGCTTCCTTAGTCCCAAAGAACATGTTTGGTCAGTTTTTGGCGCTCGGCAAGACGGCTATCCATGTGGATGATGGAGTAACCAGGTAGGGATCGGTCGTAAAATGGCTTGTCCCATCTTCGCTGCTCATTTCGCACTGCGGGATGCTATCTTCCGTCGCAGGAAATGAATCCCGCCATCAATCAACAAAGGCCTCGTTGGCTTAGTGGTAAAGCGCATCACTAGTAATGATGAGATCACTGGTTCGATTCCAGTACGAGGCATAATAACGAATGAATTACTTTTGCCAGATGTGGTGGATTAAAAGTTTTGCATGTAACATTGTACCGTAAGGGGTGGTGGGCCCGCTTGGGCCACGTCTCCGCTCATCGCCATCGTGAAATCCATGCGGTCCGCAAAAATGTATAAAACATCAAAACATACAACACCAGGTATTCGCCGGTGGTCACCCACCCGACTACTGATCCGGCCCTTACTGGTTTATCAATGGGAGAGCGGACGGGATCCCGAGCTTTCCAGTAGGTATGGTCGTATGTGTCCAATGCACCACAGTTTGGCCATGATATCGGACTGAATACCTTCGGCCAGGATGTTAGAATACCACTAGACTCAGCAGTACATAAATCTGCACCACGCATTCTCCCCTCTATCCAGATCACGTGCTCTTTGGAAAATCTCCTTTCCACCCAGCTCCCTTCTCCCCTTCTTTCAGGCCGTTCATTCTATTTCCGCAACTATCTATCTAACACCATGCAGACATCTTCACTACGAACGGCCTTCGACGAGATGGAGGGGACCGATAGTGACGATGAATGCAGGGCCTGGTAAAGTAGACTGTTCGATGCAAAAGATGAGCTAGCAACAAATGTTTCTGCTCGCCAGGGAGGAGGTAGAGCCACGGAGTGGGTTAATTTCCTCCAGGGCTCCTTTAACTTCAGCTTCTGTTTCAAGTTCAAGTTCAGTGATGAGGGCCCAGACGCCATTATTCGTCAGGACACATAGCTACTACCCTTAAAGACGAGAAGGTCGCGAACGAGGTCCAGGCCATGGAGTATCTCCGCCAACATATGACCATTCCTATTCCCTTGTAACCATTATTGGGGTTTCAGCCGAGAGCAGACAACAGCTTGATCCGTCCATTACATTATCATGCATTACGTCGAGAGGGCACTTTTGTCGAAAATCCTACAGAAGCTGTCGGAGAGTGATGAAGAGGACATGGTTTCGGATCCAAATGTGGATAACTCAATGTTGGACATGATCTTCAGCCAAGCCCCAGACTACCTTCTTCAACTTTCTCAGCTTTTCTTCACCCAAATCGGAGCCATCTCGAAAGACGGTGACACGTGATCCGTTGCCGAAAGACCACTCACTTACAGTATGAACGAGTTGACAGCCGTCTCGAGTTACCCAGATGACTTCTTTCCAACCTCAGAATCTACTGACGCCGGCGGCTACTTGAAATCACATACTCACGAGCATCTGATCCACCTCGGACGCCGCGCAACATAGTAAATAACTCGGAAACCGCCCAGGCTCAATTTATTGCCCGGCATCGTTTCGCCCAGCTAAACAGGAAGTGCCGCAACAACGATGCTGGACCGTCAACCATTTTCTGCGACGATCTACGGCTTTCTAACCTGCTTATAGATCCATCGACTCTTCAAATCACAGCGGTGTTCGATTTTGAGTTCACAAACGACATACTAGCACATTCTCATACGATCCATCTTGGCAGCTTCTGCTAGCTGGCGCAGATTTGTGTATTGATCGCTGCGGCATGGAAGGATTCCGGAGCCTTGATGATCCATGAATAGAACAACTTTTGCGGGTGTGAGAGATCGTAGAAGACGTACGTGTTCTAGAGGAGCAGTCACTTACTGGACCACGGCTGTCTACCCAGATGCGTGACTCGTGGGGGTCTGGTTACTTCTAGTTCGATTATACTGCCAGAAATTATTTCGACACAGATGCCGTATATTGGGCCGCACTACATGACGAGGGCACCGGTATTGAGTTGCTTGAGGATGTGGCGCACACAGAGCTGGAGTCATTCGGTGAGAAATAGACGGCACAGCTGACGGCCTACAAGGAAGAGTGCAGTGTTCATTTCTCCCAACCTTGTCTGAATGAATCGCTCTGCACTTTCTCGTCCTTGTTATTCAATGTTCTCCCTCTACAATTCTCGGGCAGCGGCGCATTTGATCATGTGGTATGCCGCTTTATCAATGGCCACTCATTACTGTCGTGCAAGCTAGTATCTCAGGGTAAGGACACGATTTCTTGATTTTTGCCAGTCTTTTTTTACGCACTATTTGTATGTTCAGCATTGCCGCATCTAGGGCACAAACCTCTTCGGCTATCTTCAGGCAGTCCTTCTCGGTCAAGATTTCACTTTCATCGGTGTCTCAACAGTCAGAAGAGCATGCACCAGAGAGAGATTGTTTTTCTAGTATGTATGCTCTTGTGCATCTGACGGCCTACTGCCCGTATCTCGAATCGAAGAGTATCAATTGAGGCAGGAGGACGGTATATTTACATTAACCACGACGTGGCTTCTTTTCAGCTATAGCTTTCTGTCCATGGCTTCAAGACACCGGATGAGGTCTTGGTGTATGAAGATCAGGAACATGTCGCTTACAGATTCGCCGACCAAACTTTCAGCGTTGAACAGCGCGAAAGTCAGGATGAGGTTGCAAAACTAAGACACCAATGAATATGGGCTACTGCATAGCAGCTGGCTGAATTCATCTATCTTGCGGAACCAACATGATGTGAAGACGCACTCCTACTCAAGCTTGCGGTAGTCGTCCATGGGCCGACAAGGGAGCTCACTGAGCCATGAACTCCCGCCTATCAATCTATCCCATCTCGAAATCACGAGGCATTCGCCCTCAGAGCAGCGACAAGATCGTCAAATTGCTGCTGCGACAGGTTGTTGTACACCAGGCAGTCAGAGCCGCAGGGCAAAGGATAGGGGCCATTGACGGGGTCTCCAATAAGGACTGTAGCCAGGTTCATGCAGCTGGCTGGAACCCCGACAAATTGAACCGCTGGAAAGGATTAGATTCCAATCAGTGTCATCTATTTTGTCTCAGAAACTAGTAGACTTTACTTACAACCAGGGCCGGGGGAGGTAGCCGTGACGGACACTCCCGAAATGTCATTGCGACAGCGCTCATATTCGAATGCCGGAACACCGGGGGGAGGGTCGCGACTGATGATGTGCCCCTCAATGGGGCTGATATCACGCTTTCCGCCGAATATGTGAACGAAGAGGGAGCCGATTCCTTCTCCGAAGAGATCGAATGCCAATTTTGCCCCCTGGCCAATGTTGGCCTGCGCCGGGGTGGTTAAAATGAGAAGCGCGGCAAGAGCGAGGAAGTTAGAAGTCTTCATCTTGCGGATTCAGCTTGTCAGAATAATAAGCACAGTGTTGTAATTGTAAGAGTGAATGGCAGTGATGATTGGTATAGAGACTTTCTTGGTTGTCCAGAAGAAGTCAGAAATCGCCGCCATTTATGTTCTGATGGACATCCAAGCTAGACGCACTTCAACTCCTCGTAGTTCCCATGAAGCTGAAAAGGATGAAATTGGCCGTAGAAGCATATTGCACCGCTTCGAGTGTAACGTCTATTATGGTGTGACCCCTGTCGTATCTTGAGATCGGCGTTGCAGAATTCACCCGAAATATAGTATGAGCGAACAAGAAATTTGCTGAGTAGGATTTCTATGGATTCACGAAGGTGACGTGTTAAGCTCACCGCTCAATTTCTCTTTGTAACGAAAACTGATCGACGGTGGCACATCGCTGGATCCTTCTTGTACTTCCGTTCGACATGTCACAGCACCCAACAATTAGCAAGGCCCAAGTGACTGGGGGTTGGTGACCATGCTCAGAATTGCCAGAATTGAAAGAAGTCATTTAACAATACAGAGAACTCAGACATGTGATGTGAGAAGGGGATGATGCGGTCCAAGACATACTATGATGTGTTGTTGCTCAGCATATCGTCATGGTGTGGGACTTCGTCACCAATGTGTCTCAGTAGGTGGTTCGAGCGAGCAGGCGAGGAGACAGAACTTGAAACCTCGCCCACGATTCATGAATCAAATTGAGCGTGACCTCGACTATGTCAACATATCGCAACAAGCATGCTTGAAACCAAAAGCCTTTTACGAGCATGAGAGCTGGAGGGATTCTCAACCAAAATCTGGCACCGAGCCGGCACAGTAGAGGGTTGAGGCTGCGTTTAGTAGATCCAAGGACAGAAAGAGTCCGTAAAGACACTTTCTACATCGCCACTTGCAGCTATCGGGTTAATAGCGATGTGAGAGGACCGCAAGAAGTTGATCTACAGTCTTAGATAGGTGGCAACGTACTCGGTGGTCAGTATGACGTCTTTCTGGTCACGGTTTTATGGCTCGTGTGCATGTGTCACTATAACAAAGTCCTGAGGCTGACGCTGTGCTGTACGTTGATCTCAGTCGTGATGTCATCAAAACAGTACGGTCAGGAGATGAGTAGGCCCCCGATGAAAAGAAGTATCCTCGCCACGAGAGGACCAAAATGGCAGTCAGAAACCACAAGTAATTCAGATTGAGAAAGCTGCTACGCAGCTACAGTCGTTGAGAAGCTGTTATGTCTTGAGAATGAGATAAGCCCGGAGCGCCGAGAATGCGTGAAACCAAAGGGCACCCCAAGATGGCCCACTAAAAAGCAGAACATGACACACACCGGCCCGTTGAAAAGGTCTGCTACCATATGGAATTCACGATTTCGTGGCACCCAGGCATATTCAAGCTTATGTCCTCTGGTTTCGTTTCTTGATACAAAGATCTCGACACTTGGGAAGTGACTGAGTCGTGTTGAACCGTTCGATAAGAGGTTGTTCACAGATCTGCGAGAAAGGTCTCGCAAGACCGGAACACCGTATTGTACCTGTGTCCGCCAAACCTTGATCATGAGATATGGCTTCATGGCATGTCCAATATCTTACACTGTCTGACTCGACGCCTGATACGCCACTTTCACTATTTCGTGGTGGCAACACCATCTTCACCGTGTCCTTGATCCGATTTATCCGCCAAAGAATGGGACTGAGGCGCTCAAGTTCGAGGACTATTGACGCAGATCTCACCTTCCTCGCTTCACTGCACTGCTCCGAGCCTAGCATGAACTTGTCAAGTAGCTTTGTGGGCGCCAAGGCACGATGGATCACTCAGGAGGGGGCTTGTCAGCTATGCGGTGCAGGAAGCTGTCCACTTCCGGACGGACAGGCTGATTTCAGCCATGATTCCATCTGATTAGATGGTTGAGGCTCATTTCATTGGATGTTGTGATCAGGGCCCCGCCAGCGGCCGTTGACTCTTCTCACCACTTGCCGTGCGGGCCGCCCCCAGGTTAATCCTGAGTGGCGCCAAGCATCCAGGCGAGTTCTCATGATCAGAAGATCCTTCCTCTTGCAGTCTGTGGCTTGCAGAGTTCGGGCTCGAGTTGACGCAAAGTCTTGCCCCAAGGTTTGAGGCATTTGAGGGCCATGAGGCAAAGGCTCTGACGAGCATCGTGGGACGACAAGTTCGGAGGCCGAGGTGCATGATGATCTCCCGAAGATGCCTCTTGGAAAATGTATAAGAAGGGTGTTTAATCTCGTTTGAAACTAAAGCGTGCCCATCCAAGCCACATATCAGCACCCTCATCACCAACACGATTCGATAGTCCTTCCTATACGTGAGAATACGTGACCATTCAACCAACACGATGAAGTTCTCCGCTACCATCCTGGCCGTTGCCGCCACCACTCTGGTCTCCACCGTCTCGGCTCAGTTCCCCCTGTGTGCTGTAAGTACACCAGCCCAGTCAAGCTGGCCCAGATGACTGCCGTCCCCTCCCGTCCGCCCTTCCCGCCTCCTCATGATCACAACATCGGCTCTCGTCGGAGACAAAAGAAGATATGCCAGGCTAATGCATCTTCTATCACCTAAATAGCTGTCTTGCTTTGAGAAGACCATGCAGCTTCCTCAGGCGCAGACCTGCACTGAGGCCAACATGTTCCTCTGCTTCTGCAAGAGCACGTTCCTCGCCCTCGCCTACCGTGACTGCGCTTGCAAGGAGTGCCCTTCTACCACGACGGCCGTCAGCGCCGTCCAGTATGGTCTGGACATTTGCACACGTAAGTCATTTCCCCCATGGAACGGAGGTCTGCAAAAGCTCTGGCAACACGAAGCAAGGGAGCCCAAAAGTGCCTTGAAGAGAGCGATTCGGGCGCTTCCGGCCAAGACGGGGAGAATGAAGCGCGTGCCTGGCTAACAAGAGATTGCAGAGGCGGGTGCACCAATCTCGTGGCTTCCGGCGCAGTGCTTCTAGGCGGCACCGTGACAGGGTCATGTCGCGCTTCTGTATAGGGCGTAGGACGAATTGGCGATGTGAGTGGGGACGTGGGTGGGGGAGGGGGATGTGACCGCAAGGGGCAGGACGGACGTACGTGATGTTGTGACGATGACTCGGTCATGTTGACACGGTGCAAATGCTGGTCGGCCAGGGGTTCGCGGCTACGAGCTCGCTAGCTCTATGCCTCGTCTCGCTAGCTTCAATCACAATTTTTATCAATCAGATCTAATCAGAACCTGACAGCACAAGTCTTTGTCTGACGGCATAGCAATCGACGCCCAGGCCCCCCATGTCGATGTGACGAACGCCCCAATGGAGCGGAAGATTGCTGCCGCCGTCAGACTGCATGCCATCTGAGTTGATGGTGTAAAAACAGGGAATATGCCCAGGGTGAACGGCTCAGCTGCGGCGAAGTTGATGGTGTAGTGCCCAGAGGGGTCTGGTAAGAAGCCAAGGAAAAGTCTGTCGGCTCGTATTTCCGCCCCGAGTCCCGGCGATGGCTTCAAGCCCCCATATGCACGGTCTCAAAACCGAGGATACCAGAAAAGAAGCTTGTTTGTCAAAGCGGACAGCACGGAACGCATGCGGAATACACGGGCGAGGCAGTGAAAGCGTGTGTGAGTGAACGAAAATAGAGACTAAAACAGAGACGAAAAACTGAAGCGACAACAAGGATCAGGCCCTCTGACAGGCAAGCTGAGCCGTGACGGCGCATGTGAGCGAGGCAATAGCAGAGGTACGACCGTATCCGCCAACAGAGCGGTCTGCCAAGGCCAGGAACGTTGCTTGAAATGGCTTCGCGCCGGGCAAGATAAGCCCATCGCGGCTAGACATGGCCCCTCCGATACCGGGAACAGCGGCTCGTCGGCAAGCCCAGAACCAGATAGGCCTGACCCCGTGGGCTGAGGAGCGGTGGATGAGGTGTAGGGGGGCTGGTCTCGAAGGGGTCCCTGGCCACTTGTTGGTGGATATCATCATTCCTCGACCAGGGTTTCAGGGGTCAGTGCCCCAATGATTATCTGATGATCTGATAACTCTAAAGCGACTATGCCCGGCCTTGCCAGCCCAGCCCGAGGCTCGCTTCGTGTGGGCCAGGCCGAATACCTAGAGCCACTCTACTCCATTGCGTAAATTATCGCGGCCGCCACCAAAGCAGCCACGCACCAACCGGCGGGCCCAACTTACGGCCAATCGAGCAGGTTCTTCACCCTCCCTGGGATCTGTAGCCGAACGATGGGCCGGCCAAGGCGATGCCACGGATGCAGGTTGCAGGTTGCAGGTCGCAGCCCGCGGCCTTGATGCCTGCTCGTGCCTTGCGTTGCGTGGGCCGAAGCGAGGGCTTTTCTGCCAGTATATAGACTCAAACGGGCCCTCCGCCCTGCTTCTCAGCCTCCATCTTCATCCCGATCATCAGCACTCTCGTTCACTGATTACTCTGTCCACTCGCTCGTTCTTAGCCCTCCAGCCCGCTAAATTCATCACATCAACAAGCTTCAAGCTCGAGTTCAACCCCCACAACAGACACAATGAAGACCGCCGCTGCCGCCACCGTCCTCTCCCTGGCCACCATTGCCGCCGCCCAGTCCTTCTGCGCTGTACGTCTCAGGCCCGCCACGATAGTGATAAACAGCCCACTAATCAACCCATCAGATCACCTGCTTCCAGAATGTCGTCACCGAGTTCCCTCCTCTCGACTGCACTGAGGCCAACATGTACCTCTGCTTCTGCAAGAGCACCTCCCTTCAGGGCCACTTCCTTGACTGCGTCTACGATGACTGCGCGGCCGAGGCCGACTCTGCTGTCGCTTTTGGCGTGAACCTTTGCTCAGGTGAGTGGTTCAAACCCAAACTTGAATAGCCCCTTGATCAACACATGCTAAAGTATCCCGCAGAGCTCGGCGCCCCCATCACTGTTCCTCCCCGCGAGCCCGTAAGTTCCACCCACTTTTCCAAACACGGTCTGTATGGCCAGAACATGGAGCTGACCTGAACAAAGACCACCACCGCCGCTGCTGTGACCACCACCACCGCCGCTGCCGTCACTACCACTGCTGCCGCCGTCACCACCACCGCTGCCGCCCCCCAGTCCGAGGCCCCTGTTGAGTCTGAGGCTCCCGTAGAGTCCGAGGCCCCCGCCGCCCCTTCCACCACTGCCGCCGCCGTCACCACCGATGCTGCTGCCCCCAGCTACGCTGCTCCCTCCGAGTCTGCTGCCGAGTCCGCCGCTCACTCCGCCGCTCCCTCCGCCGATGACGACGAGCACACCACCACTGTTGCTTCCGTCCCCACTGCCTCCGGCAACGGTACTAGCGCTGTCCCCACCACTGTTGAGGTTGATGCTGGTGTTATCAACTCCCGCCTCCGGCCTCCTCGTTGCCGCCGGCGCCGTCCTCGTTGCCGCCCAGCTCATCTAAGCGCTCGTCGATTCGGATGTCTGTTAGGGCAAGAGCTTTAATGTTTCTTGTAGGAAGGAAAGTGGCTCTTTTCGCTTCTGCTCCGTGCCACTCCCAGGGTAACACGGCTTAAGTGTAAGACTTAATAATGTTGTACGATTCTTTGATTATATAGAGGCGTTAGCTCGCCCTCACTAATCACATTAATACAGGCGGTGGATTCGACCAGCCGCCTAGACAACCTGCTACAACCCAATTTCTGTTATCCTGTTATCTGATATTCGTAAGCGTAATGATGCTCAAAACTCCCTTGATCCAGGGTCACTATCTACATCGTTTCGATACATTTTCGTGGCGGTGGTTTGATTATGATGTGAATGCAAGGTGACGTTCCGTCACGTAGGACCTGGTTATGCCCACACAGATCAGTATTCTTGATAAATCACCCAACCTGTCTAGGACACGGCTAAATCTCGGGTGCCGTTCCAGGATGAATGGTTGGGCAAAAGGTGGTAGCCTTGAAACTTGTTCCGCAGTATTGCATTGAGAATCTGCTGATGTAAACTGCCTACCAAGTATATCGGTGATCTGCTCTTGCCATACATTATGCATCCATCGCCGGAGCCATTCCTGGTGAAGCGGACCAATGGTCACGGTACGGCCCTTAAACTCAGCCTGGTCGTTTGATCACATGTCTGTCACTTGGAGAAGGCGTGCAATTGCCACCATGACCCACGGATGTGCTCAATCGTTTTCCTATAAGTGCTTTACGGCCGGCCGCCAATTGTGACCTTCTTGCGAGTGCTCGCAAGCCTTAGCGCAACGTGCAAAATGGAAGACACGCCGCAGCAAAGCTTGCCGCTGATCAGAGCGACAACGCAAAACCAGCCGACTGCCGCGGATCTACGCAGTATTGCGGGCTCCTCGACGAGCCAGTCACCTCATGCGGAGACGGCATCCCGCACGATGTTGTAGCCCCACCTAGGCCAGGGTTTTGGGCTCAGTTCCCGGTGTTGCCAGCCCTCTCCCTTCTAGCTAATTTAGCTCTGGTGGCTGCCATGGTTGTCATTGTTACTCTCGTTCGATGGCAGCAGAGTGGCATCATGGAAGGTAATGTCTCCTATTATCCTCGCTGTCGTACTTCTTCTCGTCAATCTCCTTCCAACTAACACATTCTCTGAGGGAGCCGCGATCTTCTGCTAGGCCCTAGCCATCGAAAGACGACGGTCGACGATCTACACTGAAGATAGATTACCTCCGAAGGGACGGCCACGGCGTTTCTCAGTATCGTCTTCCGCGGCTGGAGTGAAGCGGCCGTAGCCTGCTCCGCAGTCGTCGTTGCCACTATGAACTCGTCTCTCAGCCAGCGCGCTCTTGGCGTCGGGACCGTGCTTACGACTCGCGCCGTCACTCAGAGCAGTTTACAAGCCTGCTTTCAGCTGCCAACAGAATTCTCAGCTACGAAACGGATAGGACTGTCCTCTTGAGTGCTTTGTCTTCATAATTCAGCGTCGTCATGCGAGGGTAGTTAGGTCGTACTGCGATTAAAACGGATCACGGGTTGCTGAGAAACGGAACATAAGTCGGCCTTCTGAAGGAGGCGGGTTACTCTTTTGATTGCCATGAATTAGAGTAGAGGCTTGGCAAGGATTCGACGATACGGGGACTACCGCGGGGTCCACGGATGGCGACATCGCCATGGTGCTGAACAATCGATTTACAGCAACATACAGCATCCAAGCCGACCCATAATTCCTAAACAAAGGCGTCTGGAACCGTTACGTTGATGTTCTGCTCGCGTACGAGCTCGCCACGTCGCTTTAGTCTTGCAATGTTAAATTCGAAGATCCTGCACCTTACGTACTGGAGACGGCCCGTCAGCTTATGGTCCAGTCTTTGCTCGCTGCTGCTATCTGACAAACGCAAAAGTCGGGCAGCCCTGAGTGGCAATGTACTCGGAGACGGCAGCTGTATTTGCGGCAAGATATGTTTACATTGCAATTTCCATAGCCGTTGTCGTGTTGAGTACTGTCGCAATTGTTATGCTATACTCTGGGTTCCGAAATATCGTCGGAACGGTATTACCATGTCGCCTATTGAAGTCATCAGTGCATGTAAGGTACTCAATTTGATGGATCTCCTGTGGACGGATTTGTTCAGAAGTACTCGAAAGGGTTGGTGATCGGCATGTCCAAGTGAGATACTAAGGAAATGTGACAATGAATGGTAGGTAGCAGTCGGACCACTATTTTGAAACATTGACTTTACTTAGATGGTGTTTTAGTTTTAGTAGTATACATAATATAATGGTGGTCGGCAAATCGCGTATCATGCTGAGGATCGGTATGAAGTGTGTCTACCATCCAGCAGCAGCCAGCCAGAAACAAAGCCTGCTAACACATTCCTAATGAATCCTTCAGTGATTTTGCCACACTAGAAACTCGTCTGGCAAGACCTTCAACTTCCAGCCCCAACCGCAATCAAAGGCAACGCGGGCACTATATCATCAAACCTCTTCAGCAGTGCTTTCGGCCTCGACCCCGTCAGGCCTTTGAACTTCAGCCTCTCTGCCCACAAGTGTACGGCCTCCTCCGGACGTTGGTCTGGCTGACTTTGCCATTTCTCCTTAAAATTCTTCCAGCTGCCATCTTGATGTCGTGGCGCCCACATGGGACTTGCGGTCTCCTGTCTTTTGAAGGGGAATCCTTTGCTGTCGACCGTGAGCTTGAGGTCCTCAACAAGGTTGTACTTTGGTATGGCGTCACGCGAGATGTAAGGTTTCGGAGGCTCGATTGTCAGGCCCATGACAAGAGGCGGTGAATCGGCAGGCTTGCCATCGAGGAGGCCAGAAACGTGGTTGCCTTTGAGCACGGGGTCTTTTTCGGGATCATCTGTACTGGTCAATCTCTGAAACCACAACTGCACCATTGAAAGTCATGTCCCGTTGTATGACAGTTCATAGAACTCGATCCATGACACGAAACTAGGTCGACAAGAGAACAGGCAGGAGGGCACTTACAATATCCCCATATCGACTGTGGCACAGTCTTGAGAATGGGGTGTATCCCCCACTCCATATCACTTCTCTCATTGCCTAAGGTTCTCACCACCTTCGACCTACTTGCGACCCGTGCAATTCTGACCACGATCGTCGATACAATTGTCTGCTGAAGACACATGGGGAGAGCGTAAACTTTCTTCTGCGCATCTGCAATCTCAACCGACTTTTTTGGCGTGATTGCACCCTTGCGATCATCGAAAAGCACACCGTCACTGGCGGCAAAAGACGTGGTGATTGAGAAGGAAAGCTCGCCTCCGCGGACCAGCCACATCTTCGCTGGCTTATCCTCATACCAGACGTTGGCCTCTAGGCCCTTAGCATCGCTGCCTTCGGGAACGAGACCTCCCACGCAGTTGAATAGGAATGCTTTTGGCGGCGCTTCTTGCTTGTCAAAGTCGTCTTCGTCGTCGTCGTCATTCTGTCCACTGGCGACGTCCAACCATCCGCTAGCCAGAGGCACCGAGACCCCGGAGGACGCAGATTTGAGAGCCAAAGCCTTGAAATCACCGAGTGATAGCCGATCAGGTCTCGCCATGCCAGCACTGTCACCGAAATCGACGTCAAAGCCGAAGACCCAGAAGTCGACGTGGACAGTACCAGCCATAGGTGGCCCCGCAACAGTGAGTGTCGCCCCAATCTCACATGATATGCGTATAGTGACGAGCCAGAGGTCCAAAGAGAAACGAACTCCAATAGATACACCGCCGACGGCAGCGAAATAGAAGGGCCGGTAATTGATAAGGAAGTCAAGGAAGGCGTCAAACCAGGCGGACAACGCGCCGAGTGTCAACTGGGCGTGTAGGCGGCCACCACCCATACAAACGCGGGGCGTGATGGCGAAGTAGGCTTCGCCAGTGATGCGCAGATTTTCCCCGAGAGACCAAGCAATGCCGAGGCGAGGGGGTCGAGGATACTGGAGAGGTTTATCGAACGCTTGGTGAAAGCCACCAATAGTCATGACCCAGTCACCGGCATAGGGACTGTCGCCGAACCAGGAGAAGAGGGCGAGGCCGCCGGTCAAATGACAACTTTCGTGAAGGACGAAAGATTGCGGCGAGAGTTGGGCCTCAACCTTGAACACTCCGGCAGCGATATCAAGTGTACAGGCAATGCCGAGCTCAACATGGGCAAACTTGATAGGTGACGCCGGTGTGGGGACATCGCATACGGCAACAGCGTAGATGCCAAGCTGGACGTCCGGATTGAGCTGGACAACGACAACAGCATCGACCGCTAGCATTTGGAAGGCAGTGGCTCGAAGACCCGCCGCTACCCAGAAAGAACCCTCCCGAGCAGTGAACCATGGCTCTCCCGAGTCTGGTTTGAGGAGGCCTTTAAGAGCCTTGAGAGGCCCGCCCGAAGTATCAGTTCCGCGTGGCTTAACGAACGGGAAGTCAAGGACAGTGGCTGCATTCGGCAGGCGAACATTACTGTTGACCCCGGCGCCGCCAGTAAGGCCGGCGATGTCCGCGAAGCCGATTGTGAACAAGGGCCCATTGAGCTTGAAGATGATGAAGACCATAGTGAAGGTATCCTTCTTGTCATCTTCCGCGGCCTCCATCATAAACCCCGATCGCTGCGATTGCGGCGACGGAAGTGAGGGCTTTGCTACCTCTCCATATACACCGACGGCTTGAATCATCCAGGGCTCAAAGCCAATGATAAGACCGCCGGCATAGTAGACTCCATCCTTCATTTCCGTCTTTTGCAAACTCCGGCGATTGTCAGAGGAGGTCGGTCAAAGGAGATGGCTAGACCTGCCAGATCAACCTTGGGGCTGGATACAGGAAGACCGCAGACGGTCACCTGTTGGGGCAGCTGACAGCCATCGATGTGCTGAACAGTATTGTGAGCTGCGCGGATGATAGGAGTCGAGCAAGGTAGGGCTGAGGGATGGGATTCTGGGAGGGCAATGCGACTGCTACTGTAATGTTCAGCATCGGAAGACTTAGCCTCGCCTAGCTTCAAACTCAGACAGAAACCCATCAACGATATACCAATGGGCCCCATTAGGAGGCTTGCGTCGAGAACCACACCCAGACGGTTCTCCTCCTGGATGTACTTCAGTCCAATGTTCTCGAACACGAGCGGGCCAGCCGACACCTTGAAGGCAGCCTTTGATACGTCCTCGTCATTCTGTTCACCGTCCTCAATCAGCCACTCGTCGCAATCATCCCAGCCGCTCGGTCTGTCCTTCTTCTCGGAGTCTTTGGGCCGGTTGAAACGATAATCCAGCACCGCCGCCTGTAGGCCCTTGCTATTAGTTGCGACAACCATAAAGTGCGATCCAGGCTCAATGACAATCTCGTTCGACTTGATAGCGCTTGGCTCCTTGTTGGATTTAAAGAAGAGTTTGTCCTGGTCGTGTTCAAGCCCGGGCAGCAACGCGTCAAGGTCACCCTTGGTGACACCAGGCTTCGCGGCTTTGTCGACCACAGCTGTGGCCTTGTCGCTCACCCACATATAAACGAGCTGGTCGAAGGGCTGCTTCAGCTTCCCCACCAGCGGCGCATCGATGTCGCCCATGTCACCGATCGACACTTTGATGATGCGCTTCGAGGGTGTCGTCGATTGCCATGACGTGTCTCGCCACTGCACAAAGGTCAGGCTGATGCTCGAAATGTGTACAGATGCCGTGAACACAATGAGCTTTCGACCACCAGAACCACCAGATCCGCTCCCGGCGACGTTCACCTGCGCGCACTTGAAACCAAGAATCTCATTCTCGTTACCTGGCTTTGCAAGCATAACGTCAGCAATGACGTCTGGTAGTTTCGGGGCATCAACACCCATGATTGTGTCCAGTAGTGTCTTAACGGTCGCGCTGCCGGAAGCGTCATCCTTAAGCCCTAGGTTGGCACCAAACTGCCACTGTGTTCCGTCATGGTTGAAGTTGAGTCGGAGTTGGAGATCTCCAAACGAAAGGGCGCCTAAGAACCTGAAACTCTTTCCGCCTGCCCTTTCCGCTGTATTGGTCTTCGCGTTGCTCACAGCCAGGTACAGGTACCGTAGCTCGATATAGTCGATACGCAAGTCCTTCAGCAATGACATAGCTCCGTCCCGTGAGTCCCGGTCCCAGAAGCTCACGAGATGTGATACTTTGAGCTGATCGATACGCGCTAGTAGCCGCCACCCCATCTTGGTTCCGTAGTTGATCTCGCCGCGGATCCTAGCCGCTGCATCGAAGCCATCTGATGATGCATTATCAACCTTCTCGCCCATAGGCATCAGCAGCATGTCAACTCGAAGGGAGAACCGCCATGTTGCCCCCTCTGCTGTCAAGACCTGTACATGATCAGGCTCTCCCTTTCTCCTCATCTCCAACACACGCGGCG